AAGAGAACAGCAAGAAGTAGAAGTAGGAGAGGAAAGAAGAAGAGAGAAAAGAGAGAAGGTCTGGTTCGAATTAGAGAAAAAGTCATACCTAGATTCGGCCAGACCTGTTATTATATTATTAACTTATTGGAAAAGACTTAAGTGCCCTTATTTAAATAAGAGGCACTCGAACTAACATAACAGTACACATCAACATTCTCAACAAGTGCAAGGACCAAAATACCCTTCACTAACACCACCAACAATATGCAATGATTGACTTCTAGTGTAGGTAATAGAATAATATTTTTTCAGCAGTAAAATCAAGACATTGAGAAATATTTCGACACAAACAAGAGAATAAAGTAAAGTGATGGGATTGCCACTCATAAAGTTCAATCTAGAACACGCCATGTGTTCTGTTGTTGCTTTCTTTTGCATTTTGACAGTTTTCATCCCCATAATGATCATGATTGATCAGCAACATAAAGAAGTAATACAATTCGTTAGTGTCATAGATAGCATGGAATTCACATTTAATTCCATAAAACCACATCTAAATATATGCCTGACTTTTGAAAGCACTAACAATGTTGCATAGAGATATGTTTGGTAAGTATTTCCCAATGTCAAATATGTGTTACAAAACTTCTTTGGACACAAAAAGGTAAAATGGGCATAAAGCTTCATTGAAAAGATAATAACCAGAAATACCTACCATGGTTGCTTTTATGTTGTCTGCCAATCCGTTCACAATATCTGTTCTTTGACATACTATAAACCATCAAACCATATTCTGAGAACCAATACCAACTTCGGATTCTTCCTGCAATGATAGGAAATAACCAAGAAGACAATAAACATGAATATATGGAAAAATTAGCATGTGAACATCTTAACAGGATCCCTGCGCACAACAAAGGATGAGAAATCAAGTGACAATATTTAATATGGGCATGTACAGTGCCAATGCTGTACTAGATTATGGCAATATTGATTATTCCCTGGTTATCAAAATAGAGTAACCCTCAGCTCTTCTAATATGGGCATGTACAACCCCTCAGCACTGAAACAAGCAACTACTGACTGCTGCTTATTTTTCCAAGAAACTAAATTCCCTCCTACAAAGACACAGAAACCTGAAGTAGACCACCTGTCATCAAGGGAACTTGCCCATATGCAACAGTATACACCTTTATTCTTAAGTGGTTATGCTTAGAGAACAAAATTCCTTTCCCTGGACAACCCTTCAAGTAGGCAAGAACCCTGTACACTGCAGCAAGGTGGGCGATCCGAAATTCTCCTCAACAAAGGTTTATATTGAGTATTTGACAAGTTATGTTGGTATGGACCTACATTCTTTTAGTTTATTGAATCCCTGGAGTTCTATTTAATTGTTTCTAGATTTTATTGTTACACGGAGCAAGCATCATGCTTGCTAGATCCACTGCAGAAACCTGTGTTGTCTACTAGATATGCACTTGGACTAGGCTTTTCCCAAAATATTTGAGGTGGATGCATCATTCCTCTACCACCATTGCTTTTAATCCAATAATGATGTTTGATCAAACCATAATTGTTCATGTGCTTTCCACTGCATCAATCTACATCCTTGCACTTTTAGGGCTCAATTTTCATAGAATCATTTCTTGTTGATACAGTTATTATTCAGGCCTTGGTTGAGCATTTATAAAATTTTCAGAGGGGCCTAGCCTGAAACCAAGGCCCAACACTGTTGAAATTCTTCAATTTGAATACCTTAATTTGCACCCTTTGTTAAAGATCTTAGTCAACTTTACAGCAATTTGCCATCTATTGTTGCTGCACTTAGATTTCCACGAAAGTTCTTATTTCTAATTCTATCCTTCAAAGATTCATACCCATCCATCCCAATATCCTTAATTCCACATCTTACCTACTATTGTTATATGTATGTATTTTTTTACTAAGAGCAAAAATATTTATTGCAAGATGTGTGAAAAACTCCCTACCATTTAAAAGGTAGAAGTAGAAATACAAAGAAAACAGTAAAAAGGATGGTTTATCAGATCACACTCTTTACAATTGACTCCTAGGGTCTGGAGTTGCCATAAAATGATCTCATTATATGTATATATTCCTACTTGTTTCTTTATTGCCAACATTTTGTTCTGTAAAGCACAGTCAACAGTTTTACTAGCACCATCTAATCTGCTCTAAAACCAAACTAAAAACATAAATTCAATCTCTAAAGAAGGAAAACCATTGTATATTATCCTTTGAAAATAAGATATTAATAAATTTGGAAAAAGACAAGCTTGAACAAGGAATTTTATGCAAGACAAAAATATATGGAACCACCTGCTACATTTCCAATGGAAGCAATAGATTCCACAAATGCATCTAGAGTTGGGAATGGTGATTTTCCCATGAAGTAGGTTGTTGGAACATCCTTTGTGCAAGCATGCCATGCAAGTTCATTGGAGGATCCAGAATGTTGTCCAAAGTTACCATTGACCTATAAGGAACAATTCAATGTGTTGTAAAGATCAGAGCGCACAGATTTAGTAGGGTATTCCAAAGAGGGGAAGTAAACTTATTCAAATAGTGAAAGGCTACCTCAGAATCAAAGCACAGGGTCTTCACACAATCAAATTCCATCTTGCAAATAAGGAGCTTCTTGCAATCAGTATCCATGTTGCAAATTAGAGATGCCATGAACATTTCTTCCTCACTCTACAATTCATCAGCACATTTCATTGGAGCATGGAATTTGAAATTGGACATAGTTATTAAATTCAAGTTAGAGAAAACACAATTTAGTCTAGATTTTTCACCTATTGCTGTATGAAGTACTCGAGAAATTACAATTGAACAATGGAATTTTTACTTTCATAGATGCACCAATGCATCCAATAAAAAAAATAAAATAAAGAATCAAAGATATCATGATTGCCATCATTGTTGTTGTCTGCCTTATCCCACTTTGGTGAAGCTGGCAATAGAATCCTTGTCTCTCTATTCTGCTCTATCCATGGAAGGGTCATTGTTTTGGTGCAATGGCAATTGACTGACAAGCATGAGAACATGGGCTCAAATCTGAGAGCAGCCATGTTATGTGCCAAAGGTTAAATCCATATCCAGCCACATTATGGGGTTTGAGTGCCAGTTTTATTGCCTTGGTCCCAAACAAGGTTGGCACTGCTCATCCTAAAGACCTCAGACCAATTAGCCTAGTTAATAGTTTGTATAAAATAATATCCAAGGTTTTGTCTTTGAGGATTAAAAGAGTTCTTCCCTCCATCATATTTTCAAATCGGGATGCCTTTATGCAAGATAGACAAATTATAGATCAAATTTTGGTTGCTAATGAGTGTGTGGAGATGAGAAGAACTGGAAGAAAAGGTTTGGTTTGCAACTTAAACCTAGCAAAAGTCTACAATTTGGTGGATTGGTCCTTGTTGGAAGTAAAAAGAGGCTGTGGATTTGGGGAGATATGGTGCAAGTGGATTCCAAAGACTTGTTTGAGAAGGTTTCCAAAGACTTTATCAAATGAGCCACCCTAATCATAATGCTTTCAATTATAGCTTCTTTGTTTCTTTCTTTTACTGCAGCCCTTGTACGTCTCTACATGAGCCTTCCCCTTTTCTTTGGCCAAGCAGTTGTTGGACCAAAGAGGCTTTGCACATCAACTGGGGGATTCCACCTACATTCAAACAAAGAGAAAAACCATTCCAAATACAAACAACAAAAGCACAGGAGGTTAATAAGTGATGGCAAATCTCATCATTGGCTTTACATAGGACACACTAATTAGGAAATAAGCACCACTTAGGTCTCTTTCTTTGGATCAAGTCACAAGTATTAGTTCTTTCATGAAAAGCTTCCCAACAAAAAGCTCCGGCCATGGGGGGAAAGGGGGATAGGCCTATACCAAACCTCCTTAACAAGAAAAAGGTTGCAAAGTACTAGGAGAGGATTAAGAGTATAAAAAAGGAAGCACAAGAAAAAGGAGCCAAAAGGAAAGAGAGTCCAAATTTGACCATTAGACTTAGATGGATCAAGGAAGACCTCTTCAAGGATTTGAAGTAGAGCAAGACCTCTTCTAAACCCCAAGTCCCAATCAGACCCAGATGTTGAATTAAAGGGAACAAGGCAAGTGGAAATAGGCTTGTTTTTAAGGTAATAAAACACAAATAATGAGGAAAAAATAGAGGAAATCCCCACCCACTCATGTTCCTAGAATTTAATTTGGTCCCCCGCATAAAGGTCGTATTTGACAAAATGAAGGAAGTAGAAATCACTAATTGCAGGTTTAGTCGAGTTTCTTGTGAAAGGAAAGAGGGGAAAGATGAAGATTTCAGCAGTAGAGAAGAAAGGAGAAGAAGAAAAGAGTAAGAAGTCAACCGGGATTATAAAATTAACCATAGCCGCCTACCTCTCATTATATTTATACTTAACTTAAAGGATGAGATATTACAAGGATGCCCTTAGTAGGGTGGCTACTAATATAGCTGAATAGTCACAACTTGAAAAAACATAAACTAATGGGCCTAAAGCCCAACAACTTCCTAGCTAAATAAAAAACAACTTGGACCAACTCAACACTCCCCCTCAAGTTGGGAGTAAATGTCACACATTCCCAACTTGCGTAGATCATGCTCCAGCTTGTTCTTTGCAACACCTTTTGTGAGAACATCAGCGAGCTGCAAATCAGAAGCAGTGTATGGAAGACAAACTTCTCAAGAAGTTACCCTTTCTCTGATAAAATGTCTATCCACTTCAATGTGCTTAGTTCAGTCATGCTGGACTGGGTTATGGGCAATGTTAATTGCTGCCTAGTTATCACAATATAGCATCATAGGTTCTTTTGCCTGTACACCAATTTCTTCTAACAGGGAACGGATCAAAGAAGTTCTAAAACTCCTTGTGCCATGGCCCTGTATTCGGCTTCAGCACTTGATCTTGCCACCACTGTTTGTTTCTTACTCTTCCATGAGACAAGGTTACCCCCAACAAGGGTACACACTCCTGAAGTTGATCTCCGGTCATCAAGGCATCCTGCCCAATCTGCATCTGTATAAAACTCTAGTTTCAACTGTCCATGATCAATAAACAATATGCCTCTGCCCGGGTGTCCCTTCAGATAAGCAAGAATCCTGTCAACTGCCTCCCAATGCTAGATTCGTGGAGCATGCATGTATTGACTTACTACACTTACTGCATAGGAAATGTCTGGTCTTGTCATACACAAGTATAGCAGCCGACCCACAAGTNATACACAAGTATAGCAGCCGACCCACAAGTCTCTGATATCTCCCAATGTCCTTTACTAGTTCACCTTCTGATGCATTGATTTTATGGTTCTGATCAATAGGGGTGTTGATTGCCTTTGTTCCAAGCTTCCCTGTCTCTTGAAGAAAATCGAAGACATACTTCCTTTGAGAGATAAAGATTCCATGTTTTGATCTTGCAACTTCAATGCCTAAGAAGTATCTCAGTTCTCCAAGATCCTTAATTTCAAATTCTTTATGTAGGTTCCTTTTCAGACCATCAATCTCACTCAGATCATTCCCGGTGACAACAATATCATCCACATAAACAATTAGGACTGACACCAAAGATCCCCTTCGCTTCACAAATAAGGTGTGATCGGATTGAGTCTGAGTGTAGGATAAGTACTGTGAAATACAATGAGCAGAGTACACTTTCTCTTCCCTTTTCTGAGAGCAATAGGGAGATCAAGGTTATCTGTAACAGTGTTAGTAGGATTAATGGGAACTGAAACAGTAGCCGGACCAAGAGGAATACCTGAATCCATGTCAGCCAAATCTGGAGTCTCCAAGGAATCGACAGGAAGTGATGTGAGTTCTGCTGTAGTGGAATCAACCTCCTTGTGAAGTCTCTGTCGTAAGTAATGCTGAGAGGCAAAACGCAAAGGAGGTGGCAAGGTAGGTGACACAGGGTGGTGGTTAAGCACAATAGTAGACACAGGGACTGGAACTGGGAGAGGAATAGACTGCTGACTCACTTCCCCAAAACACTCCCCCTGAGAAGGATTCTTTGAGAAGAAGTACGTGGATTCAAAAAAGGTGACATCCATGGTAACATACTGGCTCCCAGAGACTGGATCATAGCAGCAGTACCCTTACCGATTCTCTACATATCCAAGGAAGACGCACTTCTTTGCCTTGGTATCAAGCTTCGAGCGGTGAAGACCAAGGATATGTGCAAAGCAGACACACCCAAACACCCTGGGAGGAATATGAAACATCTCCCCCTAAGGAAAAAGGAGACTGAATGGGGTGTTGAATCCAAGTATACAAGAGGGCACCTTGTTAATCAGATATACTGTTGTGAGAACTGCATCACCCCAAAACCGAACTGGATCTGTAGATGTGATCATCATGCTTCTTGCAATCTCAACAATGTGTTTGTTCTTCCTTTCTGCAACCTTCACACTCCAGACTTAACAAACTAACAGACTCAAAAAGTTTTGGAAACAAAAAACTCAGAAGAAAAAGGTAAATGGCTCAAATGGTTATGCCAAAGCATAATTTGACCCACAGACCCTGACTCACTATCCCTGCTGTAACATGATGACTCTGATGAGGAGGAAGTACATCCAAGAGGTAGATTCCATTCACTTCACGACCACTCCCAATCATCCTTTTTGAGTCCAGATCCTGCAAAATACAATGACCAGGAGAAAAAATTACTGAACAGTTCAGGTTCTTAGTCAAACTACTAACAGATAACAAATTAGTGCTCAATCTGGGAACATGAAGGACAGAGGGTAGAGAAATAGAATCACTAATCTTGACAGATCCCTTCCCAGTAATAGGAACATGGGATCCATCAGCTGTGGAGACCCTATCTCTGCCAGAACAGAGCTGGTAAGTTAAAAAAATAGTAGAGCTCTGGGTCATGTGCTCTGAGGCTCCAGAATCTATATTCCAAGGAGGTCCCTCCTTACTTGAAGTAGAAACATAATTTGCCGTGATGTGTGAACTACCTGTGTGAGCAAAGGAAGTAGAGTGGACTCCACCAATGCCACCTGTACCCTGCTGTCCGCTTGCGGCTGAACTGGAATTGGTTGTATCCCGCTGGTTCAGAAGTAGCCCATACCTCTCAAGTTCGGCCCTTACTGCAGCAGCTGCAACAGACTCCAGAGTAGCTGTAGTAGGAGGGACCGGAATGTCACCACTAACTGCCATGTGTGCATTTCCCTTCTTATTTTTCAATCTAGTCGGCACAAGATGTAGGTGAAGCTTCCAACAAGTATCTCTTGTGTGTTTAGGCTTCTTACAGTAGTCATAGATCAAATCTCTTTTATCTTCCTTCTTGATTTCACTGCCACCCCAATCTCCACTTTGTTTAGGTTTCACAGCACTTACCATGGCAGACTAATCAGAAATAAGGTTTTTCATCATAACATCTCTCCTGCACTCCTTCCCTGACACAAAGGCATATGCCTGGGAGAGTAACACAGTCCCTAGAAAGAAGGTGTTTTCGTGCAATATCATACTCAGGATTAAGGCCAGCAAGAAATTCAAACACCCTATACTTCTCTAGAAGTTTCTGATAGGTAGTTGCATCCTTAGTGGTTTCCCAAGCAAATGTCTCTAAATGGTCAATCTCCTACCACAGGGTTTTAAAGGCTGAAAAATAGGCTGCAACAGATCTATCTCCCTGCCTTGTAGAAATAATCTGATTTCTCAATTGATAAGCCCTAG